CGACGTGCGGACGAGCATTGTCGTGTCTTTTGGAGTATTCCGTCCGTTTTTCTTTCAATGCATGGCTCAAGCGCCTCAATTGTAGTCGGTAGCGATCCCCAGTTATGGTTTCATTCGGTTTCAGCAGTTCATAATAAATCATACTTCTCTGACCCCACTAAAGAGCAGGAGCTTAGACCCATGGATATTCGCTGGATATTGTTTTGCCACTGATGTTGATGGTCGGCCGGGCTTAACTCCTGATTTTCTGCGCTTCGGATTGTCGTAATAGATCTATTTTTCATCACCGGTGACAATTCGATGCAAAAAAGCTTTTCTTTTCTTCCGTTGAAGCAGCAGTTCACACGTCAAAAAACGCCTTTCAATGCCTCTTGGTTTCAATTCATATGGGACCCAATGTCCTTCTTTCTGGATCATCCCCAAACTTTTAAGACGTTTTCCTATTGTTACTAAGTCAACTCCCAATGATGTAGACAATTCTTGAAGTGTTTGACATGAGTCTTCATTTAGCAATGCCTCCAAATCATCTTCAAATTTTTTCGGCTGGCCAGGTTGCTCCTTGTAATCCAAGTCAAAATTACCAGCTTTAAAACCACTTCCGACATGTTTGCTCAGCTAGAGCATGTTCACTATACACTTTCACTAAAAACGATGAGCTACAGCAGCACTTTTGTTCATATTAAAGTAATGAAGTAAAACTCCTCGCAAAAACACTTTATTCGGCACAAATTTTGACATATTCAATAAATTATAAAGTGTTGTTATTTACGATTCAAAAAAAGATTATGTAAAGCAAATGACGTCCAATGACAGCTGTTTCACAATGAATACATTAGGTACTACGTAGGTACTACGAAATACTGTACTACCTACGCCATCTTTTGTAAAACGCTACGAATTAATTCCAACATTTAATAACCCCACAATCTCCCCAATAACCCCTTAATTCAATAACTCCATAACCCCTTAACCCTAAAACTCCATGTAGTGGAGAGATCTTGTACGGGGAAACCAAAAAATCTCGTGTATTTTTCAATAAACCTATAACTCACTTATACCAGGAACTTTATACCCTTAAAAAAGAAAACCTTTATTTCAAGGATGCTTTTTTACGCTTAAGACATTTCTCTGTCATATATACTGAGTAAATCATACGACTAAAAATGTTACTCATGTTTAATTGTCATAATGAAAAATCTTGCTACTTCAGAGAACATTGGAAATGGTGACACTGCTTTATAAGAAGATGTGTGGAAGGATCCACTTTCCAATTCTCTGTAGTAACAAAATCAGCGAAGGCGCGCTGCCGTGCAGGTAGGCGGTAGAGTGTGAGGATGAAGCCGGAGTGTGTCCGACGACGAATTGACATTGTTCTCGTCAAAGTCGGAAAACCTCTATACTTAGTCCTAGGGAGGTGTGGGGATTATCACCCCTAGACCGGTGGACTCGCCCGCGATCGTAACGGGATCCCTACCGCGTGGGTTCATCAATATTTCCATGGCAAATTTTAATAGTTTTAAAAATCCGACACGATCTCAAGCTACTGCAAACACACATGATTGTATTGGTAACGCTGATGCCTATTTCTATGTTTGTGGAGATTTTAAATTAAAAAAGAACTTGAAAAAGTTTTCCGTAAATTTACATGCAATATATCAGCGATGCTTTGGCTGTGAAGTGAGTCAAGAGGATCATGACTGGTTACCATCAGCTATCTGCAGTGGTTGCAAAACAATGTTAGATCGGTACGACACTCAAGGGGTCAAGTTCTTACGCCCAACAATGTGGCAAGAGCCCAAAAGTAAGGATGACTGCTATTTTTGCATGACGAACATTGTAGGTTTCAATTCATCAAATTTAAGCAAAATAAAGTATACAGAAGTGTCAAGCGTTACAAAAGCATCTATAAAGTCTGAAGATCGTAGAAAAGAAGACATAAGGTTTTAGGGTTAAGGGGTTATGGAGTTATTGAATTGAGGGGTAATGGCGTTAAGGGATTATTGAGTTGTGGGGTTAGATGGTTTGGGGATGATTCGATTGATAAAGTTGTTTTTGATGGTTTTCATGCGTTTTGATGTTTTTTGAGGTTAGGAAAAATCCTGACGCGTGTGCGAGATAAAGGGGTTGCGGATTCGTGTTCAGCGGGAAAAAATACATGGGAATATCATACTGGCATTTATGGCGCAGAAAAAAAAGTTTCTTTGTGGGCCTGTGTTATCCATCTAAATTACAGATAAAAATTGGCTTGTTTTAGAGGCTTGTAAATAAATTCAAATACACACACACACAAAAGAGGTGTAAATCCGACTGGATAATCACTACGCGGTACATCTGATGATGCTAATGTCGATTTTAAGAGAACTCGCGAAAAGTATTTATTAGAAAAGGATTTCATTATAATGTTTTAGAAAGCTCTCAAAATGAGTTACAAAAATGTGTAATGAGACGTGTGCAATTGCATTAAAGAAATTGATAACCTTTACGTGATCTTCAAACAACTTTCCAAAGTCAAATCAATGGCACTCTATGTTATGTCTCCTTCCAAACAATACAACTTTTGTCTGTAATGTTTTTTTAAAATGCACTGTTCAAAAGACATTTTAGCCGTCAATTAAAGTGAAACACCCTTGTATATACATATATGTATATACAGGGTGTCCGACAATTACTTTAGTATCTCTCGTAAGCAGATAGAAGGAGTAAAATTGAATTGAAAAGTCCTGAACTATCTGTTTTTATTACATATAATAAAGAAGTAATTATTGAACAAATCAAGCCAACTATAGCGCCGATCTTTAGCCGAACGCGCGTCAGTGAATCACGCGTCTGGTGTGCGTGAACGCTTCGCACGGCTCACTAACGTGCGCTCGGCTAAAGTCGGCGCTGATTGACTTGATTTATTCAATAATTACTCCTCTATTATATGTAATAGAAAAAAATGGTTCAGGACTTTTTGACTCAGTTTTACTGCTTCTACCTGCCTACGGGAGATGCTAAAGTAATTGTCGGACCCTTTACATACAAGATAACAAAAAAATATCGGAACACCTGAATAACTCGGAAAATAAGTTTTATAAAAAAATGTTTCAGACAACAGTTGTAGGGTAATTATAAATAGATTTTTTTACTTAAAAAATCTATTTACTGATTATATCAGTTTGACTTTGGGTGGTATTGAAAAGGTCAGGTCAAGGTCACATACCTTTTTTTAAATAAAACATTTTATTTTTTATTTCAGAATCTAAGTGCTGGTATCAAGCTTTCGAAAACACTATAATGAAGTTATTTTTCATTAAATACTTTTCGAGTTATAAGACTTGAAAATTACAATATCGCCAGCATTAGCATTATTCAAGGTGCACCGCGTGGATTATAGTGACGGATTTTACACTTCTTTGCGTGCGTGCGTGCGTGCGTGCGTGCGTGCGTGCGTGCGTGCGTGCGTGCGTGCGTGCGTGCGTGCGTGCGTGCGTGCGT